TAAAGAAAATAAGTTTCCTCGATCTTTTCAGCATTGAGAATTAACTAAATGTTAATATAAATTAATTTCAATGTTACTTTTTTGGATGGATAAATCATCAACATAGTTATAAAAGGTGAGATTTACTGAAGTACCAAAGCTTTTTTACGGGTGTGAGCTGATGCTTCTAATTTTAAGGCGGTATGCACTGCTGAAAGTATCTTTTTGCTCGAAGACGATAAATAAATGTTTTAGGAGATCATCGTGTGAGAGAGTTCTTTAAAGAGTCATTACACAATTGATTTATACTCGAGTCGCTTGAATACCAAACATTGCGTTACGAAGGATTCTCTTGATCTTCTAAGAATCCGTTGAACCGTTTTAAAAATAGGGAATTTTCGGGTTTGAATGCGTTTGTTTTTGAAATGCTTACCATCCACCCACGGTAGATTAGTCACGTTAAAAGTTAGTCACATCTTTTTCTAGAAAATACCCAGGAACAATGTTACGTCACAGCAGATTCGATCTTTCCTTTAATTCTGCTTGCAATCAACCCTTCAAATTTCAATTCGAAATTTTGTATGGAAAATAGTTCGAAAATATCGTATAATTCTCTGCATTAATCGATCGTTTGAAAAAAATAATTTATACTCTACTGTGCAGTAAATAACTGAGAATGAAGGATCAATCATCGCTAATAAGCACTGTCAAGAGCTAGACGTAATGCGGAAAAAATTCAGTGAAAGGCAACCAAGATTGGTAAATCGAATGGGATCCATCCGTGTCAATGCTCGAGCGATAGCCTCGATATTTAAAAAAATATATGGATACACATTGATCAAAATCAAATTACCAAACATTCAACTATGGAAGGGGCCATAGGTACCATTGTGAAAAATGAATCTTTCTGAAAATCATCCCAATAAAATTCTATTAGATTTTGGTGGAAGGATGGTGAACGCTGATCGATACACGCCGAATTCCTCGAGCCTCCAGTTATTTTTAGTCGAACGAGTTGGTGGAAGGGGCCCGTAAGTGTCGTAAACGTAAAAGACCGCGTGTCCCGGCTTCCAAACATGCACACGCGTTGCGTGGGCGCGTTCTGCAGCATGCGTGCGTGAGTGGTTGCGTACGGTGAACGACCGGAGGGCAAGGACGCCACAAGGACACGCCCTTACACGTCCGCGCGCCTTCCTCCTCCACGTGCACGCGTGTCAGCCCTTTTCACCGTGACCGATGCTTTTTCTATTAGCTCCTCCTAACTAGACACGCGTGGCAACCCTTGGTATATAACTGATAAGGGTGGGTCAGCCTTTATAACCACTAATTTTTTAGTCGTTATTACGTTTCATTCAAACTTCTTAAATACGTATAACTTTATAAAAAAAATCCCTGTTTTCTATATAAAAAGGAACATAAATTTCTGAGGATCATAGAGAAATACGAGGCAGTTAAAGTGTTAACATCCTACTTCATCATCTTCTTTCCATTTTTCCCAACCTGTTGCTTTTACATCCGTATCTCTGTGTTCACGGTAACGCGTTCGCGGTTGGCTCCGCATTTCCTCCTGTTACTTCGCAATAACTATATTCCCGTATCGATCCATTTCCTTTCGAGTTGCCGCTTCCTTCATTATCTCACGACAATTATACACGCGTGTCAATCTTTTTCCGCGCGGTACCGCTTCTTCTATTATTTCACGATAACTACCCACGACCAGTACTAGTTTCACGTCCGCGCCGCTTCCGCCGACGGAAGAACTAACGTGCGACCGACCAACAACCGGAAGCTCGAGGATAATTAACCCGAGCACAGCTAAGAAATTAGATGGTTAACGAGAAGAAAGCCCGCTACATTTTCTACTCTTTTCCCTATGGAGATTTATGTAAAAAAAAAAATTCATAGATCCTTCATTTACGAAAAATTATTGCTGTCATATTATGAGTCGGTTGCATTGAAAAAAAATTAACAAAACGACTGCCATTGGCCAGCACGCAGACGACTTAATATGCAGTTACTGAAACTGTGCAGATTTCGAAAAATCATTTTTCGATCAATCATCCGAAGTCAAACTTTTCAGAAACCCATTATTTAACCGGCTGTCTGCAATATTTCTGAAATTTGTGCCACGGTTATTTTTTTTTTTTTTGTTTCCTCTAGCGTTGAACCGAGGAAAGTAAGTATGCCGTCGAGGGTATTTCTTGGTTCGACTGTAAAGGGATAATATTACAGGAAAGACGCCGCTGACACGTCCTCGACGTTCCACGCACCATAAATCAACAACGAAACCGCGGATTATCCTCGAACGGCCTCGAGTTATACACTCGTTACACGTACCCTCTCACCTCTTCTGAACGCGTCGATTTTCTTAACGAGTTTTTGATTCAATGTTTATAGATTGGTGGTTGCTAATCGAAAGAACCATCAGCTTTCGAGCAGAGAACAACAGCGGGTAAAGTATGAGAACGTTTCCCTAGAAAGCTGCTCCATTTTAACGCCGACGGAATGGAGAACTTTCAAGTTTCCGATCTACAATCGATTTGCGAAATTAAGTTCCGATGATTCACTGGTAGCATGATGGAAATTGTATGATAAAAACTTCAAAAAGAAAAGAAATACAAATAATTCCTTCAAACCCCATCAAAGGGTTAATTACCATTCAATTACGTCTTACTACCCTGTTTTCATAGCTTCGTTTGATACATTAATACATCATTTGAATTCGAAATGATCGAAACCGATTGCATGACTGTTTTCAAAGGATCAATGAAACAACATGTTGCGAAAGAAAGAAACAAAGTTGCAGCCCTGCAATCACTGGTCTTATGTTCAAAGTTGCTGGTTTTATTATGACTTCTTCGAAGGGAATACGCAGAAAATGATACTTCTCCTCCTCCCCTCGTTGTCTCTCACCCTTTCCCGACTCTCCTTCTCTCACTGTCGCTTCTTTCTCCTTTGCTCAGACTGTCTTTTCTCTTTTTATAATTTTTTTTTTCACTCTCACAACCAGGCAGATCGCGTCTCGGTCGATGAACTTCCTGGAACGATCTTGCGATTGCCTCCCGATGTTTCTCTTTTTTTTCAATTTTTTTTTTTTTACCTTTACGTTTCTTTCTCTCCTTTCCTTCGAGTTCTCCGGTATTTTGTTGAAAAGTATCGAGAAAAATCATCGGTTAATATGTTCGGTAACGGAGTACATAAAAGCCGCCAATTTGCCAAATCGGTTAATTCCAAACAATCAAGTAGAGAAATTGATGAAATATAAAAAGTTAAACATCATTAAAGTCCTATGGCAATACAATTTTGACAAGTTCAAAAAGTGGAGTTAATCACTTTGGTTTGTTGGTATGTTACCGTGTTAGAACGTTGCATGTGCTGTTAGCACTTTTCTGGATAGTCCAGGTGAATGAACCGCGGGTTAAACAGAAAGAAAGGTGCAGTTACATTTTTCTTAAACATGCAGAACCGTGGACGAATCCACTTATCACTATAGAAAACAAACCAAACAAAAATTACAACTTTGTTGTAAAAAAATGCTGGAAATTCATAGTATTTGGTATAAGCATCGTTGCCTATCGCAGTGAAAACAAACGCATTTAGTCAGACTTGCTGGAACAGCAATTATTACGTATGCAATGTGATTGCATTATTAATTTATCTTCCAATTGTTGATAGTTTTGCGAATAAATCTACTAATTCGTTTGGAATAACCAAGCAGGTAGTCTGATGTCTAAGTGAAACTTTCTCCTGATCAATAAAAGAGACAAACCATGGGCGCTGAATAAATAACAGAAAGTCAGTTTCTGTGGAAAAGTGAGGTCGAAAGGCTATTTCACCACGTACCGTAGGATTTTATTATTCCTTGCCAACTCTTGTTTGGACATAACTTCTCTCGGTGACTTTATGGCACCTGTCAGAAGAATTCGGCACCATGCAAACCAGACAACAATAAGGTACATTCCGATGCAAAGCAGCAGCAGTCTGGCTACTCGGCTGCTCGCCAATGAACTGAACTCTCCCTCTCCCTTCTTTTTCCTCTTCCTTTTTTTTTTCCATCGACCACGTCCTTCACCCTTACCTGTTCCTTTCTTTTTCTACGAGCACTCTCTCGTGCTTCCTTTTTCTTTTCTGAATGAACAATAAAAGATAAGCATCCGCGTCTGTTTCCAGGTCGAACACTGGTTTTGACATTTGCTTGATACTTTTGTTCAAATTATATGTTGGCTAGTAAGCGCATACATATATATATATATTTAATGAATTTTAAGTTTTTAATTTTGAAAATTAAGAAGATAAATGTTGTATAATCGTAGTAGTCCATTTTCTATTTTATAATGGGATATTTCTTAGTTCCCAATTGCAGCAGGTCTTATAAAAGGCACCCTATGCTGAACTCCCATTTTCCTGCGCTTAATCGCTCTTTCACGTGAGAAGCAACAGGTAGTACCTTCGAAAGAAAGCACAAAACACATGCGATGCTTCTCACAGAGGAATCCAACCTCCAGTCACTAAACGACTGTCAGCACGAGCGGCTTATATAAAAAAGAAAATTTCAAACTCGGTCATAATTTCTAAAAGAAGCTTTAAACTACATAATTCTATATCAATTGAACTACGACACAGTAGCCATCACGAATGAAATTGATTTAAAAATCTATGTTCCATCGATAAGTGGTTTCATCTACCCCATATCGAACTCCGAATCACCCGAAGAAAGGGTATTCACCCTATCCACGATAGATATACGATTTGATCGAAGGTAAAGGTACGGTTGCGCACCGCTGCGTCAAGAAACCGAGTAAAAAACCTTTGTCACGGGGAGAAGGCGAAAGAGAGGGCAAAGAGAAGGCTAAGAAAAGGCAAACAGTGGCTAGAGAGAAGGGTTCGGAAAGCAGGGGCGAAGGAAGGGAAACAACGGACAACGAAGTCGAAGGGCTGCGAGTGAGCGAGAAGAAGTATCTTTCTTGTCGTGGCAAAGATAAAGAGAAATAAGTGTATTAAAAAAAAAATAAAAGACTCACGTTTGCAGTGGCCCTTATAGGCGACGGGAATGGCGCGACCTGCGCGGCAGGCGGCGAGTCGCAGGTGGCAGGCACTCTTGTAGGTGTTTCCGTCGGCCCCGCAAACGGGGCGTGCGACGGCTCGTTGTTGCGGGGGCGGCTGGGGGCACCTGCGGGCGCACCTCACGCAGTGCGGGCTCAGGTTCTGGTCTAACACGCAGCTCCGACCTTGGCCGCAACGTACCCGTACGCACGAACCTGCTCGACACTTTACACGTTATTACGCACAGTCGTAAACCGCCCCTGTGATAGACGCCTTGGTGACTACCCCTCCCCAAACTCCCTTTCATTTTCTATTACCAATTAAAACAAAAAGATTAAGTATAACAGACTACTAAGATGAGTGAAAAATTACAATAATAATGATTCGAGTTTATGATATTTTAATCTTTGCAATTAAACGCCCCTGAAGGTTTAATCACAAATTCATAAAAAAAGTAATCAATGCTTTTTCTATAAAGAAATTTACAGTCGCTTATAATAAAACTCGAAGAAGAGAAAAATATTAATTTCTTGATTTCAAATTGAAAGCAATAATGCAGCGGCTCTATCAGCGGCGATTTAATTGCAATGCGTTCGTGATAATGATTCCATCTCATTCATACATACTCACTTTGGCAGTGGCCGTTATAGGCAACCGCTAGCTCGTGGCTTCCCTTCTTGCAAGCTCGTTTCTTCAGTCTGCACAGATTTTTATAACTCTTCCCGTCCGTCCCGCAGACCGGACCTCCACCCCTTGGCGCTTTACACTCGGGGCTGCAAACACACCTTGGTCTACCTTTACGCACCACGCACTTCTTTCCCTCTTCGCACCTTACTTCCTTGCAGCTTTCTATCGAAACAGATCATTTAAATTCATTTAAATGGATCAATATTCTTCGTATTTATTATTATTAACCCTTGGATAAACAACAGATTTCTATGTTTCCTTTAAAATTCTCTATGTAGCAAACTGAAAATTTGAATCCTTATGAATACTTTGACTGGTCTTGATCGGTTTGTGTTCATTTACCTCTGCAAGGACGACACTGTACTCCTCCTCCGAGGACTCGCCAAAAAAAGAGACTTCCACTGTCGAGGTCTTCCTCGGAATACGCGGTTGCTGCTTCGGCGTTGGACGCACAGCAATGTTCTTTCGTCACACCTTGCGATAGGAGCTCCTTACAGCGACCGTTGCTGATAGAAGACCAACATATACCACCTGCAACACATCATCGGAGAAGTTAATCACAAATAATACCTTAAATTATCCTTAATTATCATTCACGTGATACAAGGATCAGAGTTTCTCAGAAGGTACTTTTTTACTACCCGTTTTCAATTTTCACTGTAATCAATATTAATTATCTTCATTGCGCGACGAATAAAAAAAGGATAACGAACTGAGAAACGAACAATTGCATAATGCAAAAATCACCGTAAGGTATTTCTTCTGTAAATACTTAAACTGCCAGAGAAGAATCCCAAACGCGATGTAAAGTTTAAAACAACCATTATTCAATGGAGTCTTGAAATTCCAGGCAGCTTAGAACGAAGCCCAGGGATTTATTCGTTTTTCATAGTGCACCTAATCACAGCCCATAACTATGCTTCGTGTGCCGCGTACAAAACGAAGACAGTCCCTCTTGTATTAGTATTCGAGGTACGTAGTGTTAATGAGACGTGTTGCGAGGAAAAATTCTTCTAAGGACTTTTAATTGACACCGTGTACGGTAGAAACGTGGATAAAAAAACAGGGAGAAAAAAAAAGAACAAAGTAGAACAAGGACCGCCATGAAATCGACAGACATTCGTTAGCGAGCTAGTGACAGGCGCGTTATAAAATTGCGAAAAAAATGTTGTTCGCGATAAAATAACACGCGTTCGTCGGTGTTTCAGGTGACAGGACATGATTGATTCCTGGCTGCATTGAGAAAGGTGAGGGGTTGGGTTTTCTGGGTCGCTTAAGAGAAAAAAAGTTTACGATGCAATTTAGATCGATAAGGTATGATAGCGAAAATGAAAATGTAATTTTTCTCTTGGAAACGTACATAAATAGACTCGATCGTCCGAGTATCAAAGGAGTAGGATACGAATAAAAGAAAAATTCTAAAGATAAAATGAATATTAATGGGGGAAAAATACATTTGAATATCGTATATAGTTGTCGGATAAGTGATGTCCTAAGAAACGTAAAAGTAAAATACCTTCGTGCAGTACGGGTTCATAAAGGAAACGTTCCGCGTGAACTTCGTATGTAAGTACTTTAGCTTGTATGATCAGCACACACGGTCCTCGTCCAATTCCTGGCTACAAGTTAGGAATAGTCGACATTGTTTGCCGAACTCTCCATCGACTAGGGTAAAATTCCTCGAAGACGACGAGTTACTGGCTATGCTAACGTCCCCGTCACAATGAGCCTCGCAACCAACGTACTAATTACTTCCACTTTCGATTGTGTGTATTTAAATAGTACGAACATGCCTGGCATATTAACTGCACTTGGATCTCGCTATGATCCTTTATTTTTTAAATTAATCGTTGCATTAAACGATACGTACAATGAAAGCCAGTGATTTTTAATTAAATTTAAGAATGTTAAAATAAATTATAAAAATTAAATAACGAAATCTTAAGTTTGGAATTTAATTAATTCCTTTAATAATTAGAACTTTAATATGTCCACGAATGATCCTCTTACAATAGTCAACGCGTTAAATATCGACGAAATATTTGGTCAGCTCTTCTTGTGAGCAGCGTTGATCGACTTCAGTGCAGCTCGGCTGGACAGCATGATCATTTAGCACGTGTCAGACACTTCGTCCTTCGTGGCGAGCGAGCGTAAAGGACGTTGCTCGTCTGGCGAACAGGGACAACTCGAGCCACAGAATCAATTCCCGTCTGCCGATCGAGACAGGACTCCCGTTAACTCGCGACTAGGATGCATCACCAAACTTGTGCACGCGACCTCGAACCTTTGGCGCCTCGGAAACGCGGGAATCTTCGAAAGGAGGTTCTTCATTTACCACCAGCGCGGTTCAACGTCCGCCTTTCTTTATGGAATCGATGGACGATCGTTTCAATAATTTCTTTGCATTAATTATCGTTTCTAATTGGCTTCCTTGTAGTGTAGAAATAAATTATAAAAATTTTAAAAATGTAGTTATGTATGAGTTAAATTGAGTTAAATTTGTAGAATTCCAAGAAATTAAGGTTTAAGTTAATTGGAATTGAAAGAATGTTATCTGCTCTATAAGAAATATATTTGCGTGTTGAAGGGAACACTGCTATAGAAGTGATTCGATACTAAATTTACTGTCGAGCGACTTTCGCTTATATTTTTTTACCGCACCGAGCGAAATTCGAGATTCTCGAGTCTTAAAGCACGCATCGGAGTTAAATTACAATGTTTAATTGTATGAAACTACCGAGTGTATTGAATTCTGTCCACTCTCTTTCTCTTTTCTCTTATATGGTTTGAACTTGCCTTTGAATTGAAACCTTTCCTCTCAAAAATTCAATAGAGAAGAATCAATGTTCACCTATTTGTTCTGTGGTTTTATTCTTAATAACATGGAAGTGGAACTAATTTGATAATTTTATGGCAAAATTTAAAAAGAGAATGCAACTCTTTTAGAGTAAAAAATTTAATCAGAAACATTTGTATATTCAAGGATTGAGTAATTTAAGATTAAAGGAAGAGTGGAGAGAAGATTCTCAGAAGAAGAGGTCAACCCTCGTTTGGAACTTGCCTTTGCCACTGACCTCCCTTAACGTCGTGCTAAATACCTTTCACTCGCACGAAAACGCCTATTTTTATTTCAGTTAAAGAACGATCCACATGCCTTTGCTCCACTCACCCCAGATCTAGCGCTCTTCGATTTCTATTCCGATTTCAAATAAAAAATTTCATCACTGAGAAACGATCGTACCGGGTCCTATCTATTATTTTCGATTATAATAACGATAACGATAAATTCAATAATTAGTCTTTGTGACTTTTAAAAAATAAATCTTCAATTAAAAGAAAAAGGAAAGGCACGCCTAACAAGTGTAAAAATTCGTGAATGAAATTTTAGTATTGGTTATCATGTTTTGTTCTACTGATAGAGACATTATTTTTTTTTTCTTTTAAGTATAATACTCTCGTAACGTACAAAAAGTGTAGTGATCGCGTTTGCGGTGACCACAAATCGATGCTGTTTTACGATATCACACTATACTATTTTTCGCGACAGAAATTATTAGCGGCGATTGTGGTTCTTGTTGCGTGCAGAATCTTATCGTTCGTGTATATCTATATAACTTACGTAATAATCGATACGATCGTAACCACACAAACCATATATTTCTGATCTATCGACTACTGTGCCATGTGAAAGATTTTAATGCGGGAACGACAAGAGGTATCTGATATCTTCGACTTTGTGAACTAACTCTGTTCAATGCAAATTGAAAACTTGAATTAGCCATTCAATTTACATATTAAACATTTAGTTGAATGAAATATGGGTACTTTGTTGTATTCTACAATACCTAAAAATAGACAATTTTAGATTTCGTGTTTAAATCTAAAATAGCTCTACATGTTCCAAATTTATTTAATTAGAGATATACGAAATATGTGTACGATAGTGTCGTATATTCTATACGTAATTGTTATTATAACGATGTTGGTACGACCCTGTGGAAAGCTGTTCTTAGAATCTGTTTGAAGCTTACGTAGATCCTGCGGTCTTCAATAACCGCGAATATTAATCAAATAGAAAGATGAATGGAATCTTTCCATGTTGAGTATCAAGGACGGTTGCTTTTATTTACTATTATATTTTTGTTACTATTATCTGCGAGGCAATTCTTTCTGTGGTTATTTTGCCGCACCAAAGTATCATAACTAATAAGTATAAAACCATCAACATTCCATTCTACCATTTTCTCTTCCCATTTTGGACATATGATAATTTATCCCTTAATATATCGTCAAGCGGGTACAGATTAAACAACTCTGTTCGTGCTAGTTTATCGAATTTCCTGGTCACAATTGATAGCGGTATTTTCTCAGCAATAAGATTTCCAAGAAATTGAATTAACCCATCGTCACAACGTTCCCGCCTGAAATGTTTCGCTATTCGTGTCGCGTTTCTGGCATCACAGAAAGCAAGCGTGCAATTTGAAAGAGGCCTAACAGAAGCCCGTTTCCCAGAATAGAGTTTATTTCGCGCGACCCGTTTCTATGCCGGACGAAACTGCCCCGTGCGCGTACGGCCATTATAATTAGACGTCACGGATCACGATGGCGATGGCGATGGCGATGGCGGAACCGCGGACTCGGCTTGTTACACAGAGCGAAAAGGAAAGTCTGGCGAACACGGAGCATTAATTCTCGGCCGCGCGGCGTGTCTAGACCGCGACTCAGCCACCGTTTGGCCCAGTTACGCCCTTCTTCCTCTCTCTTTCTCTCTTTCTCTTTCTCTACCTCTATCCCCCGTAATACACTCTCCGCTTTCCCCACTTCCCTTCGGCCAGTCGCTCATTCGCCCCTCTCGCAGTTCTCACAGAACCACCAACAGCACAGTAACGCTGCCTCACATTCGGGCAAATGGCGTCAATTCTTCGACATTCTTCAATTTTAAAGACTCAAAGCTCTGAAAATTAGGCATTAGATCCCGGCGGTAAAAAATTCGAAATTGAAAGATTAGAATATAGGGCTTGGATCTAACTCGATTAGGAATTCGAAACATAGATCTTGGGGCTCAGAGGTTGGTAATTAAAATTTTAAGGGAATCATCCCCCTGTGAGTCATAGCTAAAATTTATTTGCAAGCTTGGCCCAGATGAACGAAACTTTGAGCCAAGTCTTCATTCGCTCTCGAATCCTTCCGCTTTTCTCCGCTTACGTCATTCATCCCCCTCTATCGCCCCTTGGAGTATATTTTTCACGAGTGTGGGTACAATGGCGCGGGTGAATTTGCATCACCTTTTGCGAACGCCTTTGTTTTCGCTTAATGGAGAACCACCTTTGACGAGAACCGGGTAAAAGTTGCTTATGAATTGTTAGAAACTTTTTGGAACAGCTCCGAACTTTCGAAGACGTCTGACTGGGTCACTTTCAAACGTTTAAATAATTAGGTTGAGGAGGAGTGCCATTTCTCATTTCTTATTCTTTTTTTTATTCAGCTTTGAATTTCATATGATTCATATAGCACGAATTTATTCTTCAATT